CACCGCTTGTCCTCCCACCTCAACCTTCAAGGCCATGTCCTTGAGTGGTTTAGGTCGTACCTCTCCCACCATCTTCATTTTGTTTCCACTAATGGCTTTTCCTTCAGCCCCCGCACTGTCTCGTGTGGTGTCCCTCAGGGCTCTGTCCTTGGTCCCCTCCTCTTCACTCTCTATATGCTCCCCCTTGGTGACATCATCTGCAGACATGGGGTTAACTTTCACATGTATGCGGATGACACCCAACTCTACCTTTCCTCCTCTACCCTCAACTCCACGACCACCGATGTCCTGACAGCCTGCCTGTCCGACATCGAGTCCTGGACGAGAGACAACTTTCTTCAGCTCAACGTGCGCAAAACTGAGGCCCTCCTGATTGGCTCGCGTCAGCGTCTCCGCACCTCAGGCGCTGACAGCATCAGCATCCAAGGCTGCACTCTCCACCGCTCAAAGCCATCAGGCACCTTGGCGTTCTGTTCGACCCTGAGCTGTCCTTTCTTCCTCATATCCGCGCAACAACTGGCACCGCCTTCCATCACCTCCGAAACATCGCCAGACTACGGCACTACCTCACCCCTCACGCTGCTGAAACTGGTCCACGCCTTTATCACCTCAAGGCTGGACTATGGGAACTCTCTCCTCGCCGGCCTTCCCGGCACCTCCCTCCACAAGCTGCAGGTCATTCAGAACTCTGCAGCTCGTGTACTGTCCCGCACCAGGCTTCGGACCACATCACTCCCACCCTCGCTCGCCTCCACTGGCTCCCCATCCCCCAGAGGATCGAATTCAAGATCCTCATCCTCACCTACAAGGCCATTCACGGCCTTGCTCCCTCCTACCTCTCCGAACTACTATCCCCCTATTTACCTGCCCGTACCCTCCATTCCTCTGGCTCCAGTCTGTTCCACATCCCCCGCCCCAACCGCCCTACCATCGGTGGCTGGGCCTTCAGCCTCTCAGCCCCTAGGCTCTGGAACTCTATCCCCCAGTGCCTTCGGTTTGCTTCCTCCGTTTCCTCCTTCAAGGCCGGTCTCAAGACCTTTCTCTTTGACTGTGCCTTCATCTCCCCTCTCGACTCTCTATCCCCTCCTCGCTCCCTCCCTTCTCTCCCCTCACCCTGACCATTTCTCCCCTGCTCAGGACCTGACCCAACTGTCCAGCGCCTTGGGACATCCTCCCGACGTGAAAGGCGCTCTATAAATGAAATCTTGTTGTTGTTGTTGTTGTAATTAGCCTCCATCTGTGCTATGATGCAGAAATGCAGCTGCATTTCAAAATGACAAAAAAAATCAGATACAAAACTACCACAAATCTAATCAAATTCTCTCTGCCCACCTCCCCCATTCCCATTTCATACCGAATCTGAACCAATTCTGTCCATTCGCTGAATTGTTAATATGATGATGTGGAATTACAGTTACAGACTCGCACATATTATTAGTGAGCTTTCATTACAGGAGGCTCACAAAATAAATCATTCACGCATTCCTGATCTGAACAGAGACATAAAATATCATTGGTAAATCAATCAAATATGAAGTTTTTTTAAAAATAATATCGTGTTAAGCAGTTTTCCTTCTAAACTGTTTATCTTAGATCCTTATCAAAGTAAGGCAACCTGTGCTGAATTCATTTTCACTCAATCAATCATCACAAGTCTCTCCACTCCCAACAAATCTGACAAGTCATGCCCCCTATGCTCAGGGTTAAGCAAGTGGGCAAGTTTTACAAATGAAAAATTGGATAAGATAAGAATAAACCGAGAGGAGGTGCTGAAAAGGTTGTCAGTGCTCAAGGTAGATAAGTCACCCAGTCTGGATGGGATGCACCCTACGTTACTGAGGGAAGTAAGGGTGGAAACAAAGCAGGCTCTGGCCCAATCTTTCAATCCTCCTTGGACACCAGGGTAAAGCCATAGGACTGGAGGGTTGCAAATGTTACTCCCCTGTACAAAAAGAGGCAGAAGGATAAACCCAGGAACTACAGGCAAGTGAGCCTAACATCAGTAGTGGGGAAACTTCTAAAGACTATAATCCAGGACAAAATACATTTTCAAATCGAAAAATATGGGTTAATAAAGGACAGCCACATGGATTTGTTAAAGGCAAATCATGTCTAACAAACCTGCTAGAGTTTTTTGATGAAGTAACGGAGAGGGTGGATGAAGGTAGTGCAGTTGATGTAGTTTATTTGGATTTTCAAAAGGTGTTTGATAAAGTGCCACATAAGAGACTTGTAAGCAAAATAGAAACCCGCAGTATTAAAGGGACAGTGGCAGCATGGATACAGAACTGGTTGGGAGACAGAAAGCAAAGAATAGTGCTGAGCGGTTGTTTTTCTGACTGGAGGGAAGTGTGCAGTCGTGTCCGCCAAGGATTAGTATTGGGACGATTGATGTTTTTGATCTATATAAATGACCTGGACTTGGGTATGGGGAGTACAATTTCCAAGTTTGCAGATGATGCTAAGCTAGGAAAAGTAGTAAACAATGAGGAGGATAGCAGTAGACTGCAAATGGACATAGACAGACTGGTAAAATGGGCAGAGACTTGGCAGATGAAGTTTAATGTGGAGAAAATGGAGTGATGCATTTTGGGAGGAAGAACGAGGAGATGCAATATAAGCTGATGGTACAATCTTAAAGGGGGTGAAGGAACAAAGGACTAACAACTGAACAATAACCAAGATGAATTCACATTAATATTCATCCCATATCCTGTAGCATAGTTACAGTAAACAGTTTAAAACAACAAGAGAACTTGGGCACAATGTTCTCATTCCAATGCTCCTTGTCAAGAAAGGCAACACGTTCCAGAAACCAAATTAACCGAAAATTATTTTTCATAAGCCTCATCACATACAAACGAGTCCTGGCATGCTTACCACACACATTTTGTTAAATTGTACCACAAAGATAAACAGGCAGCGAACCTCTTAAGAGAGGAAGTTTCCATATCTGGAAACCTGCAATTCCAAGGGGGAGCACAGAAAACCAGGAAAGCAGGGATAGTTATATTGGTCCAGGTTTGCAGCCCACAACTAATCAGCTACTATATCTTTGTGAACCTTTGTCTATGACCCCAAGTATCATATCTCAAAATATTATTGCACTCAATAAAATATTCATTGAGTCATGAACATGTAAATCAGTAGCATCATTATCTCTTTCCTTTCATTCAGCTGCTTCCAGACTTGTGTCACTAATTCTATTCAGTAATTTATTGTTTCTGCTCATGCCCAGTGCTCACTATTGTTGCTGTTAGCGTAGCTCCATGTGAACTGCATCTTCGGAAATGTAAAGATGTATTACTGATCAAAGAAGGGGAAGAACTGGAATCAAATGTAATCTCCACTGGTGTCCTGGTCAGATTAATTTAAAAGTGAAGTTTATGTTCTGATACTTTGTCTGTTGATGGCTTTCATAATAATCCCTCCAAAACCGAAAACAATAATAAATTGGTCATTTTCAATCTACGACTGTTTGTGGGACATTGCTGTGCGCAATTGGCTGCCGCGTTCGCCCACAAATATACAGTCAATTCACTTTACAGGGTGTTCTGTGGAGCGCTTTGGGACGTCCTCCCGACGTGAAAAGCGCTATATCAAATGCAAGGATTATTATTATTATTATTTCACATTGTTTAACGTGTTCTCTTTGACACGTACCATTTTCTGTTTTGACTTGAAATTAAATCCTGTCTTTGCATAATGCAATCATAAATCATATGGCTGGGTTTTACCACTGGTAATGATAGAAATAATAAACCTTCCATTTGAGATTACTTTCACTTTGGGAGGACATCTCAAAGTGCTTCAAGAATGCATTGTAAAGTGCAGTGACTGTGTGGCAACCAACTGTTGCACAACAATGTCCCACAGACAGCCATGAATTGTTATTAGTTATCTGGAAATAGTTTGATTTGCTGAGGGCAGTAAAAGTTAATAGTATTCACATAAGTGCACTTCCTACAAGGGGTCAGTGCATAGCGATTAGGGGCAGGAATTGGTCGAATTCCTGCTTGTTGTGTAATAAATTTACCAGCCTTGGCGATGTGCATTATTAATGAAAAGTGCACAAAGTTGATAAGCAGAAAATGATTCCCTCAGTGTCGCGAGGTGCCAAAATCGATCAGCAGTCCTTCCTACCCAACATCCAAACTCTGACCAGAATTGATTTCCTCCAACTCCACCACATTGCCTGCCTCCAATCATACCTCACATTCCATGCTGCTGAAACACTCATCTGCGCTTTCATCACCTACTGCCTCAATTTCTCACTGGTCTCCCCATCTCCACCATTCACAAAGTCCAACAAATTCAAAAGTTCACCGCCTATAGCCTCACCCATACTAGAATCCATGCCCCCACACTCTTTGGCAGGTTCCACTGATTCTTCAGAATGATCAATTTCAACTCAACTCTGCCTTGCCACCTCTTCGCCAATTTTCAGTTCATACCTGAAGATTTTTCTCTTTGACTGCTCTTACAGCAATCTCTCCTTTCTCAATGTCAAACTATGCCAGTTTTAAATTAAAACTCAACATAACCTGATCGTAGTTGATTATTTGATGTATCCTTAAAATATACTTAAACACACATCAAATAGTGTCTTATGACCACCATCATTATTGCACCATTGAACATCTGTTTTTCACTCAACTCTGTAAGATTGCCGGTTTAGTGATATTCAACAACAACAACTTGCACTTATATAGTATCTTCACACCGGGCAGCATCTCGGAGCGTTTTCTGAATTATAGGCAGTTTATGTGCTGCATACCAGCAACAGAAGAAAATAGGATGAACTTGACTCAAACATAATTCATATAGGACCCTTGCAGTTCAATCCATAGGTCTGGGCTGGATTCAGTTGAAACAGGACAGCATTTTCCTATTCCACCCAGCCTTACATTGAGAGCCGTCATCTTAAACCAGGCTTGTACAAGTTACACAAGTTTTGAACCTGAACTGTGCCGAGATTATGATCATTACTGCCGTCTTACCGCAAGTGTAGATGACATTGAGGAATTTGCGAACACCTGGATAACAGGGGTCACCAAACTCATAGGAACTGGCGTAGACACTGCAGGTTCTCTTGCCGTGGCACCGTTTGGCCAGGATCTGTAAAGCTAAGGTTGACCGGCACTCTAGAAGAAACGGAATAAAAATATATAAAAAGTAATTAGGCCACTGCACATCTCTTAAGTCTAATTATTTTACTACTTGCTGATCAAAGGTAGCTCTATCTTTTCAGCCAAATCCCTGGCAGTCACTTGGCTTGGATGATCAACTGTGAATCAGTAACTGAATTAGTTTTCCTCATCCTCATCCTCACCTACAAGGCCATTCACGGCCTTGCTCCCTCCTACCTCTCCAACCTACTATCCCCCTACCTACCTGCCCGTACCCTCCGTTCCTCTGGCTCCGGTCTGCTCCACGTCCCCCGCCCCAACCGCCCTACCATCGGTGGTCGGGCCTTCAGCCTCTCAGCCCCCAGGCTCTGGAACTCTATCCCCCAGTGCCTTCGCCTTGCTTCCTCCCTTTCCTCCTTCAAGGCCGGTCTCAAAACCTTTCTCTTTGACCGAGCCTTCAGCTCCCCTCTCGACTCTCTTCCCCCTCCTCGCTCCCTCCCTTCCCGCCCCTTACCCTGACCATTTCCCCCCTCCTCGCTCCCTCCCTTCCCTCCCCTCACCCTGACCATTTCCCCCCTGCTCGGGTCATGACCCAACTGTGCAGCGCCTTGGGACGTCCTCCTGACGTGAAAGGCGCTTTATAAATGGAATCTTGTTGTTGTTGTTGTTGTTGTTTTACATGTACAGAACTTTAAAATATCAGTGAACCCTACTTTGTTGGATTATTTCTGCATTGATGGCAGCATCCAAACCCAGATGAAAAATCCTGGGTGTCTCAATTTTGAATACATTTGTAGGGATGATTTTAGTGTCAAAAAACTAATTTTTTTGAATTTATTTGGAGGATGTTGGACTAACAACCTGAGTCAGGGTAGTATGTGTCAACAAGCTAAGAGAAACCTTTCACAAATGCCAATCGAGCCCCTGGCAATATTTAGGCCCAAACATAATAAACCAGTGTCTGTGAAACCGTGACACAGCAATAAAGGCTGATATTTTCCCAAAAAAGATGGGTAAAAATAAAATGAAACATAGGTATAATGATCTGCTTGGGAACAATTTTAATGATATTAAGCATAGCTGCAATCAGGGAAAACACACTGCAAAGAACACAATAGGTTCTTTTTGTGCTGCTGGGGGCAGACTGAAGGGGTGGGTGGTGGGGAAGAGAAGACATGTATGTGGAGTGAAACAGGACATGGTTGAATAGTGACAATAGATTTATATTGTAGAGTTTTCCTGGTTACCTTTACGAATCAGGGAGAATTATAGAGAAGACTTTTCTGCCCCGTCCCAGGCCATGATAGGGCAGATGGATCTCTGAAGGGAATGTGTTTGATTTATGTTTCCTCCGTGTTTGTTTATTGTCTTTGTAGCGATGGTTCAGGTCTGCTCCTGTTCCTGCATTATTTCAGAATTTGTTTCTTTAAGAGGTACAGTACTTATTTAAAAGTCTGTTAAGTGGATATTTAACAGAGTAATTTCCCTGCCATCATCTATTGAGTAGACAGAAGGTCCACTCTAGTTCTGCTCAGTTTTACATAAATTCCTTGCCTTATTCAGTTCAGAATATCGTTCACATTTTGAGATAAAGTAAGAAAATAATTATCCTTATATTTCTTAATCCCCATTCCACATCAGGAGGGCATCTCAAACCACTTCACAGGATACTGTGCAGTGACTTTGCAGTGATTGTGTGTTTTGTGGGCAATCAAAGCAGCCAATTTGTGACAGCAATATCCCACAAAAACCCATGTAGTGATTAACCAATTTTATTGGGAGACTGTTAGCCAGAAAACTGGGAGAAGCTCTCTTCTTTTTTAAATAGTGCCTTTTTCTTTAAAGTCCACCTAAAAGGCAGATGGGACTTTGATCTCATGGCACTAATATCACATCTGAAGGATGGCACCCCCGACAATGCTGCACACCCCCAGCACTGCACTGGAGTGTCAGTGTAGACTATATGGTTCAAATTCTCAACATGGGGCTTGAACCCACAACCTTCTGACTCAGAAGCGAGAATGCTGCCAACTGAGTCAGGCAACTTATTAAAAACTGGTGTAGGGGCAGCATTGGATTGACCTTCAGATCTAGTTTAGAATTGAGAGTGTGAATCAATTGGATATGAACAGAACCAGTTTCAGTGGGAGTGGGTCAGGAAGATCAACATTGCAATGTACTAGCTGATCCAAGCACTGGAAATGAACCTTCGATTGGCCAGAGGCGACTTGCTTGCCATAAAATGAGTGTTCCCACTTACTCGATAAGAGACTACACTGAACTGGCAAGAATTCAATTTCTTAAAATTAAATTTAATTCATTTATTAAATTCTCTCTTTACCAAAAGCTCCCACCTATTACGGATGTGCTAGAGAGTCACTTATTCAAATCTAGATCACAACATGGAAACACAGTTGGTTTTAAATAACAATGGCTAGATTATTTGATAATTCTTCATAGATTTCAGAAAAACAACATAAAATGAACTACACACAATTCAGCAGAGAAAATGAAACAAGAATTGAGACGGAGGTACAAACAAACAGCAATTTTTTCATCTGATTCGATATTGTTAATTAAAATAATTCAACACATGAATTTTGCCTATGCCTATTTTTTGCTTGACTTGTTAACAATTGCTCAATTCATTCTAAGTATCTGTTCTAAATAGACATTAGTGGTATCCTGCACTCGCTTGACCTTTTACTCAGATTTACAAAAAAAAACACCTCTCCTCACATTCCAAAACTTTATATATGGAATAAATTGCTCTTGGGACTAGCCTTGTAACACGCTCCATTTAAATTATTTACATCCATCATCTGAAATAAATCGTAGGAGTCAGTTCAAAGGGAAAAAAATGATTGGTAATTATATCATACTGCTTTCTCACTAACCAACAATGAACTAGGTGCTTGGCAGCTATTCAATGGGACGGGAGCAAACACAGAAACTCTGATAGGTTTACACACTCAACCAAATTCTTTCATCTTTTCACAAAATGGAACAAACGGACCCAAAACAAAGGGAATCAATCACCAACCACCGAAAAGTATTAGAAATTCAATAAATTACGATAAAACAAGGTTACTGTAAATGATCCCTCTCAGGCCATATTACTTTTCTTCTGTTTCTACCGTAGTGCATGATTTAATCCATACAATACAGTTGGGTTTCCAAAACCACTTGCACCAAAGTCCAAAACTAGAAAGCTATAGCTCTACAATTCAGTTTTAATCTAAATTCACAAGTGATCTGGATCAAAGAACATGAGCTAGTTTGAACAGAAGAGTCAATTGAGAGTGAATCTGAATTAGTTAATACTCAATTCAAATGACAGCAAGCTTCAGTCTCGGTGTTTACTTAGTGGCTGGAACCACTTGCTTCACAACCTGTGCCCTGGCTGCTTCATCCCCAATAGGAAGATCAAAAATTAGCTTCCTGAGTGCTGTATATTAATCAATCAGACCAGGAAAGCACCAATAGCGTTCAAATTGTGCTACTGAATCTTTAGAGTCATGTAGCTCAGTGGTTAGGGCCCTGTGCCTTGCAAGCAAGTGACCTGGTTCAATTCCCAGTAGGACAAAACGTTGTGTGAGTTTCCTTACTCCACACACCTCTGATTACCCAGCAGTGAGTAGGAACCCAATTGTTCGTCGATTGGTGGATCACTTTTCCAGGGGTAATAATACCTTAAAAAAAAATTGGTCACTCAATCTACGACTGTTTGTGGGACACTGCTGTATGCAATTGGATGCTGTGTTTTGCCACAAAATACACAGTCAATTCACTTTAGGTATATTCTGTGAAGCGCTTTGAGACGTCTCGAAGACGTGATAAGACAATATATCAAATGCAAGGATTGTTATTATTATATTTTAACAGCCACCTAAATAGGCAGATGGGCCTTTAATTTAACATGTCATCTGTATCAAAAGATCAATAGCAAACTGAAATAGTGGGGTAATACTGCCACTGTATAAATCATTGGTGAGACCATACTTAAAATACTGTGTACAGTTCTGGTGGCTGCAGTACAAAAAAGATATTGGAGAATTCGAGAAGATACAGTGGAGGGCAACCAAAATGAGTGAGGGAATGGAAGGACTGGACTATGAGGAGCGAATAAGTAAATTGGGCATGTTCACGCTGGAAAAGAGAAGATTGAGAGATGATATAATTGCTGTCTTTAAGATTCTAAAGAGCCAAGACAATATAGATCATGATAAGCTGTTTCAACTTGTCCAGAATAGTAGAACCAGAGGACATGGCTTGCGATTGAAGGGGTGTAAATTCAGAATAATCTACGCAAACATTATTTCAGTGAGCTAATAGTGAACCTGAGGAACAGGCTTCCTAGGGAGACAGTTGAAGCAGGAAGTGTTGATTCTTTCAAAAACAAATTAGATAGTTTTCTTTTAGGAAATAACATTATGGGATATAGTACATAGGTAGTTTGGGACATAGGTGTATGTGACCGGCAGGAAGATGGAAGGTAAACTAGATGGACCTTGGCCTTTTTTCTTCTAGCATTTCTTATGTTCTTATCTGAAGAACGGGTATGTTTGCTTGTTGCAACCCAGTTCTGTAGCGGTGGAACATTAAACAATGTTATTTGTGTCTCCAATCTCCTGCTGACAATATTCATCTTAAGGGACTCATTATGACAGTAGTACATTGGCATTCTAAAGATATATCAATAAATAAAAGCACTGGTAACATTGCTTATGCGGTTACGAGCCTGATAGGCAGAGCGATCAGACTCATAAACAAAATGAAAATTGTTTCCACACCATGAGACCGTTTCGTTCTAATATTAAAGGAAATAATAATACTACTTGCATCTAATGTGCATTTCAAATACGTTTAATACAGATTCAAAATATTCCTATGCTGTTTGCCTGCATGCATCACCCTTTCACATTTACAGGGATAACTATGGAGCATATACAGTACATTGTTCTGCTAGGACTGCCTCCCATTGAGGTCTGTGGCTCACAGGACTGTGAACATGT